AATTTGTAGGCGCCCCCCCCTCAAGAGGCGGGCCCCGGTCCCCGGGGGCCGGGTCCCCAGTCCCCAGCTCCCCGGGCTGCGCTAATTAGCTTCTTCCGGGGGCGCCATGCGGCGTGAGGGGCGGCAATTTCCCGGCTGGGCTGCGGGGGAAGCACTCCCACCGCCTGGGAAGGTGAAATGGGAAACTCGATTCAAAGAGAGCTTTCCTCCCCCCCCCCCCCCCCCCCCCCCCCCCCCCCCCGCCTGGGAAATAGCCAGGAGGGGCGGGTCCAGGCTCTCCCAGGCTTCACTCACGCTGGGGCTCCAGTTTGGACAGGATGGGCTGTGCCCCGCTGACAGCGACCGCCGTGAGGGTCTTCACGCCCTTCTCGGCCGCGTCGCACACAGTCTTGACGTGGGGATGGCTCTCCTTGGTGGACATGTAGGTGGCGGACACCATGTGGCAGGTGGAGCTGATGAGTGGCATGCCGGCCACGCGGTCCACCACGCTGGGCTACGGGCAAGGCAGCTCAGGCCAGGGAAACAGCTCACCTCCCCTCCCTCTGCACCCACGCGGTTGCACAAGTCAGGAACTCTGGGTTCCGCTGGGCACTTCCTGTATCTTGGTCCCCACAGCCCACTTGTTTGAACATGACCTTGCCACCCACCGTGCGCCAGGCAGTGACATGACACAAGAACCCCACTGTCCTGGAGCTCAGGGTCTACAACTGAAGCCAGGAAACTACGGACCCCTGGGGGTGAAGTCCTGTCCACCGCCTGATTTTTTTCTTCTTGCCTGTTTTTTTTTTCCCTAGCAGCACTATTGAAATCTAGTTAACACGCCATAAAATTTCATCATTTTGAAATGCACAAGTCAGAAGTTTTTAGTGTATTCACAAGGTTGTGCAACATTCACTGTCTAATTCTAGAACTTTTTCATCACTCCAAAAAGAAACCCTGTCCCCACTGGCTGTCACGCCCCTGCCTCCCCAGCCCCTGAAAACCATGAATCCACTTTCTGTCTCTGTGGATTTGCCTGTTCTGGACATTTCACACCAATGGAATCACACATTTGGCCTTGTGTGTATGGCCTCTTTCACCGAGTAACATTTTCAAGGTTCACCCACGTAGCAGCATGTCTCAGTGCTTCATTCCTTTTTTAAAAAAAGTGTGGCAGGGCTTCCCTGGTGGCACAGTGGTTGACAGTCCGCCTGCCAATTCAGGGGACACAGGTTTGTGCCCCGGTCTGGGAAGATCCCACATGCCACGGAGCGGGTGGGCCCCGTACGCCATGGACGCTGAGCCTGCGCGTCCGGAGCGGGAGAGGCCACGACAGTGAGAGGCCCACATATCGCAAAAAAAAAAAAAAAAAAAAAAAAGTGTGGCAAAATACACATTACTTAAAATTTACCATTCAAATCATTTTTAAGCGCACATCTCAGTGGTATTAAGTACATTCACACTGTTGTGCAACCAACCCCACCATCTGTCTCCAGAACTTTCTCTTCTTCCCAAACTGAAACTCTGTCCCCATGAAACACTGACTCCCAAGCCCCTCCCCCAGCCCCTGGCCCCCAACCATCTACTTCCTGTCTCTATGGATTTGAATCCTCTAGGGACCTCCTGTGAGTGGGATCACACAAGATTTGTCCATCTGTGTCTGGCTCCTCTCACTGACCATATCTTCAAGGTTTATCCACATTGCATTGTGTGTCAGTACTTCATTCTGTTACATGGCTGAATAATATCCCACGCTACCTGGTTTTGTAAATAAAGTTTTATTGGCACATGGCCACACCCATTCATTTACATATTGAATATGGCCACTCTTACCCTACAAGAGCAGAACTGAGTACTCAGGACAGGCCTTCTGAGCTTCGGTTTCCCAATCCATAAAATGAGAAGTCATTTCTGTCCTAAAGGAGTTGCAAAGATGACCCATGTGAAGACGCAGGCAGAAGACTTAACTCTCACCGGGACTATTTGTAGAATTTGTGCTTTAGTTCACTTAATCGCCAGTCCCAGGAGATTGGGAGCATTATTCCAACATTATGGAAGGGTAAACTGAGGCATGGAGAGGCTAAGGAAGTCACTCAAGATCACAAAACAAGCCAGTGGCAAAGCTGGACCTTGGACTCAGGCAGTCCTCCTCCAGTGTTTGCCCAGGAGGTCTCTTCAGAAATTAATGACAAACTTACCACACAATCCAGCAATTCTGCTCCCAAGATTCTACCCTAGAGACAGGAAAACACACGTCCACATAAGACTTGTACACGAATGTTTGTAGCTGCCTTATTCACAATGGCCAAGAAGTGGAAACAACCCAAATGTCCATCAGTTGGTGAATGGATAAAGAAAATGTGGTCTAAAGCATGTTTTTAAAAATATATAGTCTCCAAATGGCTAACAGGTATAAGGAAAGATTCTCCACATCACAGATCATTAGGGAAATGCAAGTCAAAACTACAATGAGCTACAACCTCACACCCCGTACTTGCTGGGATGGCTACTATCAAATGAACAGAAATTAAAAAGTAATGGTGAAGATGTGGATGATGTTGGTGGGAATGCAAAATGGTGCAGCCATTATGGACAACATTATGGTGATTCCTCAAAAAACTAAAAGTAGGGACTTCCCTGGTGGCACAGTGGTTAAGAATCCGCCTGCCAATGGAGGTGACACAGGTTTGAGTACTGGTCCGGGAAGATCCCACATTCTGTGGAGCAACTAAGCCCGTGTGCCACAACTACTGAAGCCTGTGAGCCTAGAGCCTGTGCTCTGCAACAAGAGAAGCCACCGCAATGAGAAGCCCGCGCACTGCAACGATGAGTAGCCCCTGCTTGCCGCAACTAGAGAAAGCCCGTGGGCAGCAACGAAGGCCCAACACAGCCAAAAATAAATACATTAACAAATTTATTTTAAAAAAGGCACTTCTGACAAGATCTACAACATGGAAGAAGCTTGAGGACATTATACTCAGTGAACTAAGCCAGACACAAAAGGACGACTACTGTATGATTCCACTTATGTGGTACCTAACACAGAAGGTTCTACTTTTATAAAATGATTCCACTTATTCTACTTATATGAGATGTCCAGAAAAGGTAAATCCATCAGCAGGATGCAGATTAGTGGTTGCCAGGGGCTGGGGAATAGGGGAATGGGCATGACTATTAATGGATATGGGGTTTTGATTTGGGGTAATGAAAAAGTTCTGGAATTAGATAGTGATGATGGTTGTACACTATGAATATACTTAATGCCACTGACCTACACACTTCAAAACAGTTAAAATAGTATATTTTTATGTTATGTGTATTTTACCACAAGTTTAAAAAAGGAACACGATAATTAATAAGAACCTAATGTACAGCAGAGGGAACTCTACTGAATATTCTGTAATGACTTAAATGGGAATAGAATCTAAAAAAGAGTGGATATATGTATACGTATAACTGAATCACTTTGCTGTACACCTGAAACTAACATAACATTGTAAGAATAACTATACTCCAATAAAAATTAATTTTAAAATAAAAATAAATAAAAAAGGACAAAGCACCACAGATATTACAATGCAGATGAACCTCAAAAAGATTACGCTCAGTGAGAGAAGCCAGATACAAAAGGGTCTCATAGTGTATGTTTTCATTTCTATGAAATGTCCAAAATAGGCAAATCCATAGAGACAGAACCCAGAAGAGGGGTTCCCAGGAGGAGAGAAAATGGGGAGCGACTGCTAATGGGTATGGTGTGGTGGTGATGGCTGCATAATTGGGCAGTTTACTATAAATCACTGAGTAGTACTCTTCATAAGGGTGAATTATATGGTATGTGAATGATACCTAACTTTTAAAAAGCTGTTTATTAAAAGGGGCTTTTATTTAAACTGGGGAAAGGAGGTGAAATAGAAACTGGCTTCCTAAAAGGAGGACCCTAAGAGAACCTGCAGAGACAGGGAAGGTCTGCCTGGGGGGAGCCAGGCAGTTTCAAACAGAGCTGTACCCTCGCTCTCCCAAGAGCCCTTGGAATCCCCAGCTCTCCCACCTCCACCTATTAGAGGGGCACCTGTTAGGGGCTAGTATAATGGCTCTGCCCAACCCACTCAGAAGGGTGTCTCTTGACCCCCCCCTGTGCTGGCATCAGCTCCCTGCCAAGGCACCACCAGGTGGGAAGCCTCATCCCACAGATCTCAGACCTTCCTCACCTGCTGTACCGGTTCTTCCGCTGACACCTGGGTGCTGGCAGTGGCTTCTGTCTCGTTGGTGGACATTTCTCAGAAGCAGGCACTGTGAACAGAAGGACCAGTCAGGGTACAGCCTGCTCCTCTCTTCCCTCCAGGGGGATGTCCGGGCTCACACCTGCCCTCTGACCACCCCCGCCCCCAATTTCCTAGAGCCCTGCCTCTCAACTGTTGACACATACCTGTGAGCCTGTTCAAAACAGGTGCTGATTCAGCAGAGCAAAAGTCTAACAAGCTCCCAGCTGCTGCTCATGCAGCTGATCCCGGGGGCCACACCTTAAAGGGCAAGGTCTGTGTGCAGCCCTCCAAGGGCTCACCTCTATCAATACAATGGTGCAAAACCCCTGTAGATGGCAATTTGTCGATTACTACTGGGTTTTAAGAGGCATATTGCCTTTGACCCAGAAACCTCAGTGCGGGGACAGTCCCACACTGGTACTGCCACGTGGACAGAGATGTGTGCACTTGTGCTGGCCACAGACACGGGAAACAATCTGGCTGCCCAACAGAAGGGGACTAAAGGAAATAACAGTGGTAGCCCAGGGCAGTGGCTTAAGTGTGGAAGCTTACATGTAATTGACTGGGACCAAGATATTGTTAAGAGACAAAAGGTGTGAGTAGGACTAAAGTTTTTGCTTGTATTTGACAGAATCCTTAAAGAGACACAGGAAACTGTTACAGTGGCCACCTTTCAGGGAGGAAGATCGGGTAGCTGGGGCAGGCCTCTGACTTTTGAGCCAGGTAGATAACATTACCTGTTCAAAAAAAAGTTAAGTTTTTTTTTTTTTTTTTAAGTTAAATTAAAAAAAAAAAGAGAGAGAGACTATTCCTGGCCTCTCTGCAGACAGTCAAGTCAGTCTCAGGGATGTGGGGAAGGCAAGGGAGGCTCCCTGGGTGAATCTAATGCACACATTTGCAGGCAAGATGGCAGCCACAGGTATGCTCCATTTTCCTGGCCAAATGAGATGAGACACCTAGAGCATTGTCAGATTAGATTTCAGGAGTCCCAGCTCCACCCATGCTGTGCTATGTTGGGCAAGGAGCTTCCTCTCCCCTAGCCTCAGTCTTCTTATCTGTAAAATGGGGCTAAACCTGCCTTAAGTCTGGTTCTCCAGGTCCTTTTTTTTTTTTTGGCTGCACCACGCAGCATGTGGGATCTTAGCTGACCAGGGATCGAACTCATGCCCCCTGCAGTGGAAGCACAGAGTCTTAACCACTGGACTTCCATGGAAGCCAGCCCACCCCAGCTCATTCTGGGATAAGCCTGTGGTGAATCCCTGACCTTGAGTTTGAGCATTTCCTTCCAGACACCGTGTTTTGCTATCCCCCAAGTGGAACCCAGCAAACTGATGCTTTGAGAGCACCAGTTCTACAGTCCAAACTGGGTTCTAATCCCAGCTTTGCAACTCCCTAGCTGTGGGACATTGGGAAGGCAGCACCCCCTCTCGCAGCCTCACTTGCCACGTCTATGAAATGGGGATAACCGTTCCTAGCACAGAGTCCCTGTAGACTGGAGGAGAGTCTGGAACGTAGCTTGGTGCCTGGCACACAGTAGGTGCTCAATAAACAGATCCATTTCACACCACTCTGCCTGCCACAAAGAAACGGGTGAAACTAGCCAGGATTGAGCTTCTGCTTGGTACAAAGGTCCCCCAACTGGGAAGTGGGGCAAGGAAGCACACCTGCCCCTAGTGATAATCACCTGACCCCTGTTCCTCCCCTTACCTTCCCTGCAGCCTGAGCTCACCTGGGCAGCTCAGAGGTCCTCCCTCCCATCCCTTTTGTCCATCAACTCCTCTGGAAATGGTTTAACCAGGGACACCCATTGCAGATGTCAGCACCCCCATTAAAGTCCTTGGGGTCAGCAACCTGCCTGCAGCTGGCCCCAGCAGCGAGAGCAAGAACTGGCTGAAACTGGCTGGAGTCACGCAGTCGTCCAGCTGCAGCCAGGGAAAGTGAAGATCCAACTTCCGAAGTTCCCAGGGACGGACCCCAGGCCTAGGCTCTGGTTTTACAAAGGTCCCAAGGACTCAGATAAGGGGGTAGGCCTTCCCACCACCACTTTGTGCAATCCACTGGCCATACCCGCCCAGGAAAAGGGGGCGGGATTTGCCCCAAGACCTCGCCAGGGTCAGCTGGGTGGGTCAGAAGATCAAGGGAGGGGCCGAGTCCCCAGGCGGCAAAACCATTTGGAAGGGAAAGGGCTTTGCTAGGCAGAGGGACTGCCCCCTGGTGCGGGGAGGGAGGGGGCCCGCTCTGAAGACCCAGAGAGGGCGGAATTCCTGTGCGGAATGGGCTGTGGCTTGCCTCCAAAGTGCGTTTGCAAAGCGAGAGGATGTGGTTGGGACTGGAGACTTAACCCTCCCCCACCGCTTGATATTGCCACTTCTAGGGGGCTCTTCCGCGCACCGCCCCCCCCGAATAGATATTGAGAGGAGAGAGTCTGAAAGTCTGAGCCTGTTCCAGAAGTTGGATTTTTCTGGGGGGGAGAGGTGTACTCAGCCCAGGCTGGAGACCCCTCCCCAGGCCGCGAAGACAAGCAGAGCCCCCAGGAAGACCCTTCCTGCCCTTCCTCCCCTGGGGCACCCCAGGACTCGGTGGACCCCGCCCCCACTTAATCGGGGTCCCTAGCCTCTCACCGTGGTCAACGGGACGTCCAGGGAACGGTGACCACTACTTCAAGGCCAGCTCCAAAACCGTCCTGGGCCAGCCCAAGGCAGGCTTTTAGGCTTGGGGGCGGGCGCCCGGGACTGACGGGCTGAAGGACCAATCTGGTTGGGGGGGCCGCCCGCCGCCAGGCCACACCCCTCGCCCGGCTCCGGACGTTGGAGCAACAAGTGAAGTACGGGAAGGGCTGGAATTTCGCGGGCGCGCGCCCTGCCAACTGTGCACCCAGTGGGCGACCCCTGTACGACGCCGGATCCAGCCAAGGGACGCCCCTCCCTGCCAGGGACCCTAGGAATTCGGCCCTGGGAGGTGAGTGCGATCCTGGGGTCCCCCGCCCTTCTTTCTCCAGTGGCCAGATCGAGGCAGTGGGAACTCAGAGAGCATTGCGTGATGCCTTCTGCGTGTCAGGGGCCACCCCTCCCCCCCCCC